TAGATTTACAATCAAACATTTTTTGACCTTGAAAATAAACAAAAAGATTTATCTGTCATCTTCCAATATGTCACATGTACCACTAGCACTTATGTTACTTTACCTAAGCTTTATCATATTTCATACATCTCTCCATTATACTCCAGTATAAATAATGGGGAGGGATTCACATGATCATTCATTCTTGGGAAATACAATGATTTGAATTGGTGAGTACATCTAAACCATTGGATTTTGAAAAATTAAATGACTAAGATATGAAGTAGATATTTTTCACTTACTCCAAGAGTAACTGGATCCTCCCCGATGGAAATTACTCTTATCTTCACTCTCTCAATATCTACTCATCAACACAAAATACTAAAAAAGTAAGAAATAATGAAATGTCATCAAAACGACCTCGTTTGAGGTACCATTGTTTTGTTGTATGTTAATGTTAAAATGATCCATTCCCAGATCTAATAAATTTGAAAACACAATGGGTTCCACTCCCACAGTGAAGAACAACAACAACATAATGGATCAAGAAAACGGCAGCGTTTCATCTCCAATTTCCGCAACCGTATCATCCTCCATAGAGTGGGGTACACCGGAAGCCGTAGAATACGTTCGATCTCTAACCGAAGTTGGCGCAATGACGCGCCTTCTCCACGAGTGTATCGCACACCAAAGAGCCTTAGATTTTGAACTCGACGATCTCTTATCTCAACGTAACGATCTTGATAAACACCTTCTTCAACTTCAACGCTCTTCTGAAGTTCTCAACATTGTTAAATCTGATTCTGATTACATGCTTAACAACGTTTCTTCTACTTGTGATCTCGCTGATGACGTCAGCTTGAAGGTTCGTGAACTTGATCTAGCTCAGTCGCGCGTGAGATCCACGCTCTTAAGGATTGACGCCATTGTTGAGAGGGGGAATTGTTTGGAAGGTGTCTATAGGGCGCTTGATTCCGAGGATTATGAATCCGCGGCGAGGTATTTTTGTTAAGATGTTATTTGATTTAGGGTTTATTTTGTTTGATTTTAATTATGTTAGGATTTGATTTTTGTAATTAGCATCATTGTTTGGATGTGAAATTTGAAAGCTCATTAATTGAATTGGAAATGTTTGGTAAGATTAATTGTGACTTAGTGCGTATTTGACTAGAAATGTCCACACATTGGTGTTTGGTAATTGACCTTATTTCAATAAGCTAGGAGCTTATAAGTTTGTATTTGATAAGTTACTTGAGGTAGCTTATAAGTCCATTTTACACCTATTACCTAGCTTATTAGTTAATCTTACCGATTAGTTTCGAACTTTTTATTCTACCAACTAGTTTATCAGCTCTTAACTTTGAAAATTTAGCTTATAAGTTTTCCGCTAGCTTATCGATTAGTTGTGCCAAGCAAAGCCCTAAGCATGTAGCTTATAAGCCACAAACTACCTCAAGTTGCTTATCAAATAAGAACCTATAAGCTTGTACCCTTGTAGCTTTATTGAAATATGCCAATTTACTAAACACCAATGGGTAGCTTATTTTTGGTCAAATAAGGTAGTCAAGCTACCTTATGGTGTTACCGAACAGACTCTATATGATTTTGTGTCAGTCTTATATATAAGACCCTCATCCTCCTGTACGTTTGAACTGTAATTCAGAATTACAGTCATATTCATTTATATTTTCCATATGTTGTGTTTCTGTTTCCAACATGATATATTTTCTAACAGGTATGTGCAGGGTTTTCTTAAGATCGATGCTGAGTATAAGGATTGTGGGAATGATGAGAGGGAGAGGTTGATGAGTGCAAAGAAGCAGCTTGAAGCGATTGTGAGGAAGAAGCTGTCGGTCGCAGTGGATCAGAGAGATCACGGCTCAATTTTGAGGTTTATTCGGCTTTATACACCACTAGGGTTGGAGGAGGAGGGGTTGCAGGTCTATGTTGGTTATTTGAAGAAAGTAATTGGGATGAGGTCGAGGATCGAGTTTGAACAATTGGTGGATCTGATGGAACAGAGAAATAATGGAAGCAATGTTAGTGTTAATTTTGTTTTGTGTTTGACTAATTTGTTTAAGGATATCGTGTTGGCGATTGAAGAGAATAATGAGATTTTGAGTGGTTTGTGTGGTGAGGATGGGATTGTGTACGCGATTTGTGAGCTACAAGAGGAATGTGAATCCCGAGGTTCTGTGATTTTGAAAAAGTATATGGAATATAGGAAGTTAGCTAAGTTGTCGTCTGAAATCAATGCTCAGAACAGTAATTTATTGGCAGTTGGAGGAGGTGCCGAGGGACCGGATCCGCGAGAGGTTGAGTTGTACTTGGAGGAAATTCTGTCACTTATGCAATTGGGCGAGGATTATACAGAGTTTGCGATTTCAAAGATCAAGGGTCTTACTTCTGTGGACCCTGAATTGGTCCCTCGTGCGACGAAGGCTTTCAGGAGCGGTAGTTTCAGTAAGGTTGCACAAGATTTAACTGGATTTTATGTGATTCTGGAAGGGTTCTTCATGGTGGAAAATGTTAGGAAAGCTATACGGATTGATGAACAGGTGCCTGATAGCCTTACCACTTCTATGGTGGATGATGTGTTCTATGTCTTGCAGAGTTGTTTGCGAAGAGCGATATCCACTTCGAATATAAGTTCTGTTATAGCAGTTTTGAGTGGCGCTAGTAGTTTATTAACCAATGAGTATCAAGAAGCCTTACAGCAGAAAATAAGGGAGCCAAACCTTGGTGCAAAGTTGTTCTTTGGTGGTGTGGGCGTGCAGAAAACTGGGACCGAAATTGCGACAGCTTTAAATAATATGGATGTTAGCAGTGAATATGTTCTGAAGCTGAAGTATGAAATTGAAGAACAGTGTGCTGAGGTTAGTGGTGTTATTTTTAGTACGTTATAGTTATATTTAACAACGAAATTCATCAAAAAGCAGTAAATATGATTGGTATCTCATTTGTCTTATGCAAGTTATGTACCATTATACCCACTTACTCCAGGAGTAAGCATAAGAAGTTACTCCCAATCTCACCCATTCATTTAAATTACTGACTCCTGTAGAGTACGCAGTTGCTTACTTCTTATACTTACTCCTGTACAGTGGTCAAATTTGTATTAATTCTTGGTTGATATTTGTTTAGGTAAACATGTAGATAATTAATTAAAGAAATGCTCTCGAATTTATGTGTCATTGAATTTGTACATGACTTAGAGTAACATTGGGTTAGAGTAAGACAATGATGCTTTGCTGCTATGATCATAAGTAGAGTTTTATTTGCCATGGAAAATAAGGCGAAGATAAATATAGGAAGATAGCAAATATAGAACACAACAATTTCAAGGATGTTATTATTCCCTGAATGGTATGATAAATAGATGGTCAAACTTGTATTAATTCTTGGTTGATATTTGTTTACATAAACATGTAGATAATTGATTAAAGAAATGCTCTCAAAGTATGCCTTGGAAATGGTGTTGTTCTTGATTTCACTTTAAAATAACTTTATGTATACCTGTTTAATGTGCTTGTTCTTTTAGAAATCATTTATTTAACAATCTTGGTGACCCCAAAGAGAACTCTGTTTATCTGATTAAAATTCTCCCACACTCCTTTTGTAGTTCTATATGTTCATATCGCGAAGAACCGTGTCTTTTTATCTGAGGAAGTATGCTTTGCCTATCCGTTTTATTTCATTTTAAATTGCAGCAGTAATCAACTTAATTACTTTATACAGGCTTTTCCTGCACCGGCAGATCGAGAGAAGGTAAAATCATGTTTGTCTGAAATGGGAGAAAGCAGCAATGCTTTCAAGCAAGCCTTGAATGCTGGCATAGAACAACTTGTGGCAACCATTACACCACGAATACGGCCAGTTTTAGACAGTGTAGGAACAATTAGCTATGAACTTTCAGAGGCCGAGTATGCAGATAACGAGGTGAATGACCCATGGGTTCAAAGACTTCTCCATGCCGTGGAGACAAATGTGGCATGGCTGCAGCCACTGATGACTGCCAACAACTATGACACTTTTGTTCATTTGGTAATCGACTTCATCGTGAAAAGGCTTGAAGTCATTATGATGCAGAAAAGATTTAGTCAGCTTGGTGGCCTTCAGCTTGACAGAGACACTCGAGCTTTAGTAAGCCATTTTAGCATCATGACTCAGAGAACTGTTCGAGACAAGTTTGCACGTCTCACTCAAATGGCAACAATTCTTAACTTAGAAAAAGTGTCCGAGATTCTCGATTTCTGGGGAGAAAACTCCGGACCTATGACCTGGAGACTAACTCCAGCAGAGGTTAGGCGTGTATTGGGTCTGCGAGTTGATTTTAAACCAGAAGCTATAGCTGCTCTAAAATTGTAATTCCTCTCTTCTTGGTCTCTCTACATTCTTTTCATTTCCTTTTCCCCTTATATGATAAGTCTTATTCTCATTATTTTTAGTGTTTGGGTACCTAAACATAAAGTTTTGTTATGTTATTTGCATTATGCTGACTTCAAAAGCAAAAGAGTTGTAATCACATTTGCCCCACAAGTTTGTCCTTCCTGGTTTTACATGTAGCATCAAAATTTGGAATAAATAAATACTTTTTACATTTGAAGGTTGATGTTAGATTTTAAGGTAGGAAATGAATGCACCAAAGTCCAAATCACTTCCTTTAGACTAACAGCTTTTTTCCCAAACGGAGCACAGTTTATGTGCTCAAATTATAAGATCCGTACCGGAAACGGTCTTTCTGTTTGTGGGATATGGTTGTATATATCTCTCTTTTACAGATTTCACTAAGTAGGACATTGAATTTACAAATGATTAAAGGACATTGAATTTAAACCTATTAGTATTATGAAAACACTTGTTAGCAACCAACCATCTAAGTCTAGCATTCTCTTTTTATAACACACCAACTTGACCCATATCACTAATACAATCTTTAAAATTGACAAATCTTTCATTTTACCACTAACTCACATTAAGTAAATATGTAATCTAATATAATCTATCAATTAAGTACACATTGGGTCCATAGCTCAGTGGTAGAGCATTTGACTGCAGATCAAGAGGTCACCGGTTCGAACCCGGTTGGGCCCTTTTTATCGATTTACCTTGATAATACAATAAATATACATTATAATCATACAATATGTCTGATCATTTGTCCACATTTCAGCAAATAAAATAAATATGTTATTTTTTATTTTCATTTTATTTATGTGGCAATTTGTAATTGGCTGAAGGCCTATAATGATCTCTAAACCCCCATTAAGGGTTGTTGTTGCATTAAACCATACATATTACATGTACTCTCAACTAAAGATCACATCAACATAACCTTCATTACCTTATAGACACGATTTGGATAACTTTATTGTTCTATTCAACTAATTTCCCATAAACTATTTTTTGCATTATCAAATCTTGAATCATTAACTTAATTTAGAGAGATCGAAAAATATAATAATTTAAACTACAAGTAATTGGTATATATCCTCTATTACTTTGTTTTGTCATAAATGGAGGACAATGATAATGTAAAGGCAATAATCAATAAGGATCATGAAACAACATAAAGTTGTCAAGAAAGTATTAGTATACCACAATCACAAAATTTAATTTGAACACAAAAATTAATACAATAAAATATGAAAATGTATAATATATACTTCATGATTAAGCCACAAACTCAATGTAGAATAACCACTATCCTTTTACAAAACCTTCACATTTAAATTATAAGGCAACAACCTTATCTTTATGACAAAGTTAAAATGTAGAGAGAGAAAAATACCTAGATACATGCATAATTGGGTTTTGCCTTCTATCATTATGCTTTATTTATGATGAAACTAGAAACTTAAAATGACCCTTTAACACACTTACATTACATATAGACAAGAGATGAAGATTTAATGTCCAGGTTTATGTCTATATCCCTAATTAAATTGTATTGCTCAGTTAAATAGAAAATTTATAAAAATAAAATTACATTATGTAGTGTAAGTTTATTGAATAGAGACAGAAAAAGATAGTTTTTTGGACAGAGAATCTATGTCAATAGACAAGACATTTACACATGAACAAAGATGATTATCATTCATCAACATGTTCTTGAATTTCCCTTAAACTCCAACATTAGAAACAACAACAACATTAGCATGAAGCCTACCCTTTAAGCATTCTTGGATTATTAAACATCCAAGTTCTAAATTTCCTTTGCTCATATCAACCTTCTCTATTAAATCATTGAATTGACCCTTACTCATTCTCACCTTGATTCTCACACCTTCATGATCCAATGGGTGTAATACTCCTTTATTACATGTTTTGCCCTTTAATATCATAAGTGTGATGTTATATTGTTAATCCATGATTATAATATCATGTTGATTGATAAATGTGATGTTATGTTCTTAAATAGTGAAGTTATATTTTTAAGAAGTATTGTTAGTTGTTAATCCATAGTTATCTTGATTATCAGTTTTTATTAAATAAATTTTTATCATAATGTTAAAGTTAGACTTTATTTTGTATTTTTGTTTGAGTAAATTATGTATATTAAGTTTTATAATTTTTATTATTTTTTCTAAGTTTGATTATATAAAATAACATAGAAAAGAGATTACCTAGACTAAATTTGTTTCCATACACACTATATAAAGGAAACTTTAAGAATTGCCAACTTGTGATTCAAATGAGTAAAGCCATAAACTTCAAATTTTTCTAAGAACAAATAATTATTATGACTTATGGCTGCTCCTCCATTATCGTTTACAATTCCATAACTATTCTACGTACGTCACTTATTTAGTTATTTTCTCTTGTTTCTATTTTGAATTCTAATACCTTAGTCATGTTATTAAACAAACTTAAGGACAAAAATATGGTTTCAAATTTTTATTTTCAAAGTTTAATACAAAGAATTTCCCAAAAGCCACCCAATTACGATGGTAACATGAAATTATGGTATCGGTCCATGATAGTTACATATCTTGTTAAGGTTTTGGGCGATGTCGAAATTATATGTAATCATAATTATGTATGTATGGGTCAAATTTATCTGTAAAACATTGGTTGATATTGTTTATTGTTGGGAGATCTTTATCTATGAGCTATATCATTCTTTTATGAGTTAAGTGAAAGAAGCATATAAATAGGTTTGACACCACATCTTGACCCAAAACGATAAGACATTAGGTCTATGGGTTCATCTACTTATATGTTCTTCAACTCATCCACTTTTGCATAATGTGAGACTTCTTCATTAACATTTGGAATATCCAACATTTCTCCCTCAAGTGTGAGTTACTTCCCTTCGAGTATTGGATACATCAGAGTTCAACTCTCTATCTACTTGCATTGTTGTTGGCTTATCCTTTCATCAACGGAATATGCCGACATGACCTATCGTCAAGAAGACTTTCGACGCAATGATCCATCGTGAATCTATGGACCATTTTATCGCTTCAATACTCTGTTGAGTTATCGAACCATTGGTTATAATATCACTTGTTGAGAGATCTTCATACATGAGTTATATCATTCTTCCATGAGCTAAGTGAAGGAACATATAAATGTGTTTGACACCATATCTTTGACCCAAAATCATAAGGCATTATATCTATGAGTTCATCTACTTATATGTTCTTCAAATCATTTTTTTTACATAATGTGAGATTTCTTCATTTACACTTAGAATACCCAATATTTATTTAAATTTGAAATGTTTTCACTAATCATTCAGCACGTTAGGAAAACTATATGTGGGAATGCATGCAACCCAAGTATTAATATAAAGTATTTTTCCGGCAACCTTGTATTTAGATAAAGTATTTTAAACTTCCAAATAATTGAATTGCAATAGAAAACATTTTCAGAAGTTATTTTTTTTAATTCATAAGTTAACTAAATTCTTTTATAAATGTTTTATGATGGATCCCGTTACATACCAAATTGGATATAGAAAATCCCATCTAAATTACCAATATCAATGTTATTAAAACCGTACCGGTTATCAAACCGGTCAGGGTACTGGTATAGTGGTACAGTGGTTCAACCAGTGGTTCAGTAATTAAACCGCATGCCGGTTAAACTGGACATACTTGCTTATATATATATATAAACCTATAACAAAAAATTTCAAATAAGTAGATATTCATATTTATAATCCATATTCATAATTTACTTCAAATTCACACAAACAAACAACATTAAGTCTTTAATAAAATCAAAGTCTAAAGTGCAAAACATATATTAATCCAAAATTATCACTTAACAAACGCAAAATACAAATAAATGACCCAAATATTAATCATTGAAGTTGAAGAATTTGTGAAGAATTGAAAATTTGAAATTTAAAAAAAAAAAAAATTAATGTACAAACCGACCGGTTTAAACCGGTTTTGACCGGTTCTATTGCATATGCGGTATAACATACGTACCGTACCGGTTAGGGGTCCGGTTCACCGGTTTTCCGATTGAACCGGCCGGTACGGCACGGTTTTTAAAACATTGACCAATATACCCTCAATCACACCAAAAAAACAAAGACAGTCATTTCAATAACCTCATGCAACCCCAACAACAATAACAACATAGTCTTAACCTCATTAGGTGCAGCCGACTATATGAATCGAACGATATTATAATGTTATGTTATAATCTCTGTAATTCCATCATGAATGAAATCAAGACATATTCAAGTCTGGTTGACAAACCCTTGTTATGGTATAACATTTGGGAATTATATGGTCACAACACCTATGTATAGAGGGCATTGACACTAGAGAGGGACAAAGTTGGATCAACAAAGAAAAAGCTGTATTTCCCTTTCAGGGTGTACGGTTGTCCATCCTAATAAGTGTCGCTTTCAGGAATCGAACTCTTGATATTTTGATCATCCTGAATATATAGGAGACCTAACACCACTAGACCAACACTTCGTTGGTGTTGGAGCAACAATTTAACTACACTTCTTGCTGCACTAATTTAACAGTCTTGATGGTGAGATTTCTCCTTCTACAATTTGTGACCTTAGAATGTGCTAGATATGATTTATTACAAACTTTGATAATGAAATTATGTGACTAATATGATGTTAGCTCAACATGATTTACTTTTCAGCATGTATTATGGTATTGTCTACACCTTGTTAATTTTATTACTTTTGTATTTAAATTAATGCTAATTATTTAATGGTAATAACTATTTCACAGTTTTTCTCCAAAAAAAAAGCCTGAAGATTTATATCTAAATTACCCTCTTTTGATTACTCGTATGATTAGTATATTTTTATCATATTTATATTTCTGAAATTTGAATTTAAGGTTTCCATATAAATATTGAGATTGATTTAATTAAGTATTTCCAATTCCGTAATTTACTTTATATTTACATTATTTTTATTCTTATTTATTTGTTCTCTTTTGGATTAATTTCCTTTTTGAATTAGACATTTGGGATGAATGAGATTTTTCAGTAGTAAATTACCCATTTTATTAATGATTATCCATTTTGGTATAATTTTCAAATTTGAATATCTAATTTCGCATATTTCATTTTAATGAAATTTTAGTACAAGTTTTAAAACTAAAGAGCAATTTTTTTTTTTCCATTGAGGAGATCTATCATTTAAATCAATTTGTGTACAAGTTTTTTTTATTAAAGATAATATAATGAATTATATAATAGGACTATTTGTAGTCATGATCATTGTTTAAAAAACCGTGCCGTACCGGCCGGTTCAACCGGAAAACCGGTGAACCGGACCCCTAACCGGTACGGTACGTATGTTATACCGCATATGCAATAGAACCGGTCAAAACCGGTAAACCGGTCGGTTTGTACATTAATTTTTTTTTTTTTAAAATTTCAAAATTTCAATTCTTCACCAATTCTTCAACTTCAATGATTGATACTTGGGTCATTTATTTGTATTTTACGTTTGTTAAGTGATAATTTTGGATTAATATATGTTTTGCACTTTAGACTTTGATTTTATTAAAGATTTAATGTTGTTTGTTTGTGTGAATTTGAAGTAAATTATGAATATGAATTATAAATATGAATATCTACTTATTTGAAATTTTTTGTTATAGGTTTA